TTGAACCATGATCCTTACATTTTCAGGCTCCTGAGTAGCTACTATTATAGGTGTGAGCGACTGATGTCCAGCACTGGATCTAATATATAATGATTTCATAAACTGTTCTGTGTGTGCTTTTGTGGACTTTTACTGCTCTTAGTTTTGAATTTATCCTTCCTACTATTGCTATCTTTCATGTTTTGGAGTAAGAATGAAAATAAACATTTTTTTTTCTAAGCTGAATATTGAAGAAGAGATAAAAGTTTGTACACATTTCTAAAAACTTGGGGTATATTTGGGGTATTTTTTTCTCTCTTAAATTTAATGTAGCACAACAAAAATTGGTATTTTTAACAATATAAATTTGGGGATTACTTGTTAGCAAACAAAGTAAGTCTCTTCTCACTTAAATGAGTTAGAATTGAAATGAGGAAAAGTAAGAAAAGGAGGCTAAGGCTAAGGCTAAGTTGATGACTAGAAAAAAAAAAACAACAACATTGCTCTTTAAAGATAAACATCTTTTTTGGGAAGTATACTATGCCAACAGATTTTCTTTAAGGAATATTAAGAATGAATGTGTAAAATGTTTAAAATATATGATACTAATTAGCAAGAAATTATTTATTTCACAATCAGATGCAAAGGAAATTCTGTTTAGGAAAGCAACAACAACAAAAAAGAACACACAAATTTAGTTAACACTAGTAACTCCTCCTGCCTGTAATCCTAGCCACTCAGAAAGCTGAGATGTGAAGATTATGATTGGAAGCCAGCAGAGCTTGTCCTTGAGACTCTTCTCTATAATTTACCAGCAAGAAGGTGTAAGTGGAGGTATGGCTCAATTGGTGTAGCACTAGCTTTGAGCAAAAATGCCAAGGACAGTACACAAAGGAAAACTGATCACAAGGTTGTGGAGAAGTAAAGAAGATGTAATCAGGGCCAGATTTTTAAGCTGTTTACATTACATTCAAAAATACAAGAAGTTTTACCATCTTGACTTCGCAGTGACATTGAAGTAGTCAGTTTTCTGTGCACTTTACTCAGCTATGCCATTGCTTTGACAGAAGCTTTCACTCATCCTGCCTTCACATGTATAGCAGGCTGTCTTAGCTGTCTATTATTTGTATTGTATATCTGTTTCACAATCTCTTTACTCCACAAGAACTCTGGCTGAGGCGTCCTTTCCAGTCTCATGGAAGGAGTTCAAGAGCTATGGCCACTAGGAGAGTCCTATTCAGGCAATAATAACTTTGTTCAGAAGTGGCTAACATCACTTCTGTTTATATTTTCTGGACCAAAAAATGTCACAGATACATTCTTAAGACAGCTGTCTATGTGACAGAGGAATGTGACCTTCCTACAGAGAGACTAACAACTATCTTCACAATAATGCAATGTAATGCAATCTTTTCTGACCTTCAGCAACAAAGAGATGAGGTTTCTTACCAGGTGGTCACCAAACAGAAGGAAAAGATTTTTAGCTCTTTATTTTGCCCTTTCATATGTTGTCTCTTTGTTAACAAGAAGTGATTTGAGATAGAAAAGGAAAAGAAAACACAGAAAATTCCATGAGATTCATTGAAAGTATTGTATATTAGAAGAATCTGATAAGGAAATAGATCAATCACAGTGTCCTGATTTTTTAAATCTTGAAAATTATGAATCCTCTCTAAAGAAGAAAAAGAAAGTAAGACCCATGTGTCTGTAGTTTGTGGGTTGGATTTCCAGAAGGCATGGAAAAGTATTTGCCTCAGGTGGCCTCTGAGAATAGCTTGGATTAATTCCACTGAGATTTCTGAAGAATGGTATACAGTATCTTCCAGAATTTCACTTATTTGTTGGCCTAGAACTTGCTAAGAGAGGATGCATGTCTCTATGTAGATATAGGAATGGAACCACTCTCTTCATTATGAAAGGAGTCTGAGAGCAAAAGACAAAGGGAAACTGTGCTTAGATGAGGAAAACCATGAATCAAAACCACACATGGTTTTCCCTCCCAGCTGCAATGGATATCAACAGCCCCATGGAAGTTGCCATATTGTATCCCAGCATATCACTTGTGTCAGTCACAAGAGACAGTAGGAGAATACATATTCATAAAATTATGGTATGGAATATTTTGTAGATTTAGACTGAGGCAGAATATCCAGAGAGACTAGGTAGTGCCACTGCTGCCAGAAATTGAGCAGAATTTGCTTCAAGACACCATCAGAGAAAATAAGAACTGTGATAGCAGCAGTAACAATAAAGTCCTATGATTTCTACTAGTAATAATAAATGGGTTAATGTTTAGGCTGCATGTACATATGCAGATACAAATACATATTCTATGTATATTTTCAAAGTGCAAATAAGATGCTACTACTGCTTCTTCAATTTGCATGTGGAAAATGGCAGCATAGAAGAGTTAAATAAGATTTAGTGATCTAACCATATTTTACTCCAAAATACTGAAGTGAGAGGTGTTGTTTCTAATGTTTAAGACTCACATGTCCTAAAACTGTACATTCCTCCATGAGGAACAAAAATAAAGCTTTCTACTGAATGTAGTAGAAGTCTTTAGTCACAGAAAGATGAATTTTAGACTCAGCAAATTATAAAAAATTAGAGATTAAAACTATTTCATTAATCCTCTCATTGGCTTGACTAGAAAGATACCAGATACTTTGCCTCACAATCTGAATCAAGCTCAAATGATGGCAGCTAAATTTTGTCATTGTTCAAGTCAATACTCATATATGTATCGCTACATATACAGAATATATCTGAATATAGCAGCTTATTGTTCTATTTTTGATACATGAAACAATTCTTGAATGCTAAATATATTTTCCCTCATGGATTGACTAATATTTTAGTAATTCCTTCAACAAGCCACAATGGTTTATGTTAGGATGAAAAGCAAATGTGAAGCACTGAATACTACAGTCTCGAGGGAAAAATGAAAAAAAGTCTTTGTTTCTTAGAAGCTTACAGCAACTGCATATTTTACCACAAACTGCACAGAGATTTAAGAATTTTACAATGAAATACCACCATGTCCCAAGTCATAAATGCATCTCCACTACAAAGAAAAATAAATATTTGAAAAAGAAAAAGAGCATCCAATGTATGGTTTTGCTACCGGAGAGTGAACATCACACTTAGTAAAGTTGCAAAATGTTTGAGATCAGAACTCATTGTCTCATTAGCTTGACTAGAAATGTTCCTGGCACTTAGATTTATATTGAAGACAATAATTTTCAAGATCATGTATGTGTGCTTGTTGTGAATATAACCTACTCCAAATGCCCCAACAAGATCATAAGAAAGTATTTTCTTTGTCATTTGTTTGGTAGTACAAATGGATGCTCAGAAGTGATATGCCCTGTGCTCAAAATCACATTAAGATACATTCTCAATATTAGGGTTCATGCATTTTATTCAGTGAGGATCATTTCTATGTCTTTCTTTTTTTCCCTTGAAGTGATGCTCATAAAAAGAAAGTGAAGTGATTATACATCAATAAGTTAAAAAAATAATTCACTAACCTGTGAGGTACCATTAATTAGTAAAATTCCAATGATCACTAATACCCTATCTCTCTAAACAACAGGAAAAACTCCATATTGTTTTGGAAGTAGGTAGCATTATTAATGAATTAATGAATTTGATTAAGTGAAAACATACTTGGTCAAATGTGTCACAAAGTTTTAACGTAGGGCAGAAAATAGATGTAGATTTAAATTGCATTCTTAAAAAATGTATATGTTTTGAAGAAGTAGACAAAAATCCATAAAACCATGTTTGAAACTGCTATGGCCTGTATGTTTGGAACTTACAGGTTGCAAACAACTAAATATGTTACATCACTATAAATGAGATAAAGTACAACAGTATTTTTTGTTCTTGCTTGTTTTTGCTGTCTAACTTTCTGAGAATCAAAAAAAAGATGAAAATATGAAGCACATATGAACATTCAGTGATGGGCAGGACATGGGTTAAAACAGATATACAAATCAAGATGCAAGATTTAAAATAATTTTGAAACTCAAAATGTTATAAATTACCATGATATGTTAGATAAAGAGTTGACACAGAGCAGCAGGAAGTTGACCTTTCTATCTTCTTATCTATATATATATTTTAATAACTTGGGAATATTTCAGCTAAATCACATAAGGTAGAAATGTGAACTAATAATCGGAAATGACTGTGACTGTCCTTAGTGAGTAAAATGTATGTTACACCTATTGCACTTTTCTTTTACTACCACAAGACATTTATAGAAACTTACATTTCCAAATAATATAGACTGCATCGTTTGAATTTAAGAGAAATTAAAACACACATACTTAAGTAGTACTAAATCTGACTGTGAGCCGGATGCCAGTGGCTCACGCCTGTAATCCTAGCTACTCAGAAGGCTGAGATCTGAAGATCATGGTTCAAAGCCAGCCTGGGCAGGAAAGTCCCTGAAACTCTTATCTCCAATAAACCACTAGAAAACCGGAAGTGGTGTTGTAGTTCAAGTGGTAGAGCGCTCGCCTTGAACTGAAGAGCGCAGGGACAGCTCCCAAGCCCAGAGTTCAAGCCCATGATTGATAAAAAAATAAAATAAAATAAAATAAATTTGACTATGTAAACTTAAAAAAATCATATACTGAAGTACTCTAATAGTGTCACAGATATTTCAATTCTGTATCTACTTAGAACACCTTTTACTATATTAATCAACTCGTTGTAAGCAGTTTTCACAGGAAATTGCTTATGAAGGTTAAAAAAAATAGTATGATCTAAGTTCTCTTACTTATTTTTCACTATATGGGACATATGGAACATATAAAATATATGCATCTTATGCTATTATACATGATATAGGGTCCTTTTGTCATCAATAAGGCTTCTGATTAACAACATGTTAGGAATGCTTTGGAAAATTAAACATTAATTGAAAGTATTTATTTTGAAAGAAGTACATGCAACTAATATGTTATTAAATGGTCATTGGTATATTCATTTACAAAAGTGATAATTTCTTGCTTTAGCAGCACTTATACTAAAATTGGAATGATTCAGAGAATATTAGCAAGGCCCCTGCACAAGGATGATATGCACATTCATGAAGCATTCATATTTTGAAATAAATAAATAAATTTAAAACATTTTAAATGAGGAAATGTAGTTAAATACATGTTGGAAAGTTTGAACTTCGTTTTCTTTTTTTTTTTTTTCAATGTTAGTGCTCTACTACTTGAGCCACAGCTCTATTTTTTCCTCTTTCTTTTCCTTCTTCTTCTTCCTCCTCCTCCCCTGTCCTTTTCTCTTCCTCTTTCTTTTTGGTGGTAAATTAAAGATATGAGTCTCATAGATTTTCCTTCCCCTACTGTCTTCAAACTATGATCCTCAGATCTCCGCCTACTGAGTCGCTAGGATGACAGGCATGAGCTATTTGGCCTCACTTTTTGGAGTTATAATTTTCCATTCAGGGAACATAGGCTTGGCTTAACATTTAATTGTAAAAGGAAAATTTATATGACAGCAATATTTCTACAATCCATGATGTAAATGCCCAACTCTGTCCAACTTAATGTAAGCAATAAATCATTAAAAGGATATTTGAATGCTATACAGACATTTTAAAGAGAATTTACAGAGTTTACTTGAAATCTCTGTTTGTATCTAATGTGTACTCAATATCAATCATATACTAATATTTTAAGAATAAACAAATAACAGGTGCATATAGGTTATATCTACAATATATAAATATATTTATATAAATATAAAATAATTAAAATTAAATTTTACATACGTGCACTCTTAGCATTCATTTGGAAGTTTAATTAACAACTCAAAAATAATTTTATCTACTATTGTTGTTAAGTGAAAATATAACAATTGTGTCTATAAAAGTTAACTGTGTATAAATGTAATAAGATCTAATCAAAAAACAATTGTGGTTGTTCTAAGCAATTGTTTAGTATGATACTAAAACAAGTCTTCTTGTAAATAATATTTTAAAACAAAATTTACTTGCTTTTAAAAAAGCAAATTGTTTTAATAGGTATACAGGTGGACCCATTGCAACAATGAGACGTACAAGATGTTATGTCAAAAAATGAACTTTATAACTTTGGCAGGGGATTGGGGCCGGGGGGGTGGGGGCAAGGGCAGGGATGATAAGGGGAAACAAAGGAGGAGGTAACAATGCTTGATAAGGAATGTACTCATTACCTTGCTCATGTAATTGTAACCCCTCTGTAGGGCATTTTCACAATAAAAAACTTATTAATAACAATAAAAAAAGCAACTCCTTTATAATCAGAAACTTCTATCACATACATTTGCTGCAATATCCTCTACAATTATCAAAATTATATGTAATAATAAACACATTTAGTTTTCTAAAATATTGGTACATATTATGCCCTTTATTTAAATACTCTTACATTTGCCATTTGTGCAAGTGCTAGCTAGGGCTGTACTAGGGCTTGAGCTCAGGACCTCCTGCTCTTGCTGTGCATTTTGTTCACAGTTTGTGCAATACCACTCACCACACCTCCACTGTTTCACAAACATTTCTGCCCGAGCTGGCTTTGAAATTTGTTCCTCATTTATCAGCCTCCTATGTAACTCAGATCACAGGTTTGAACCCCCTAGCACTAAACAGACTTCATTTAGTTTAAACATGCTTGGAAAGTTATTTGTTTTTAGTATTTATGCCAGAATGATAACCTAAATAAAAATATATGCTGATGATTACTATAACATAAGTTTTTATAATCAGATATCTGTCATTGAAATGGAGAAATCAGAATGAAAAAAAACATGTTTTTATTCAGTTATATATAAGTATAAAGGAAAAAAGCTTCAGATTTCCAAAACATTTTTTCCATGTTTTCTTTTCTTCTTCTCCTTCTCCTTCTCCTTCTCCTTCTCCTTCTCCTTCTCCTTCTCCTTCTCCTTCTCCTTCTTCTTTTTGTTGGTCATGAGCTTGAATTCTGGGCCTGGGCTCTGCTCCTCAGATCTTCATCTCAAGGCTAGTGCTCTACCGCTTGAGCCACAGCACCATTTCCAGCTTTATCTGTTTACATGGTGTTGAGTAATTGAACCCAGGGGCTTGTACATGAAAGACAAGCACTGTACCACTGAGCCATCTTCTCAGCCTTCCTGAAAGGTTTTATGTGAGATCAAATATCTATCCTGTTATCCTGTGAGAACCAGAAGTATTTATAAAACTACATCAGTTTGATTTGCTACCAGATATATTACTCATTGCCTCCTGCAATTCATAGGAACTTGAAAGATAGAATTCTAAATTCTAAATTGTACTCACTCTAAAGCAACCTACCAGCATATAAACATATATTTCTTACAATGTCAGTGATAGGAAACAAAAGGTTATTTAGCAAGTCTTACTCTAGTACACACTCAGTGTGTGTGTGTGTGTGTGTGTGTGTGCATGTGTGTGATTTCATGCGTGTGCATGTGTGTGTGTGTGTGTGTGTGTGTGTGTGGTGGTGGTCTAAGCTAAAGCCCCAAGAATACTTTTGAAATAGAAAAGCTAAAGCAGGAGAAAATGAGTTATTTTCCTTCATCATAAAATAATATGGAATAACAATACAAAAATGAATTCAACATAATACAAGACTTCCTGCTGCAGAACATTCTGTTCTGCTATGCAGTTACCGTGTTTAAGTTTTGTTTTAACAAGACAGTGTACAGACTTACTCATCTTTGAAATGTCTGAAGACTTTCTGTGCATGATAAATAGCCCAATCAAAGTCAGCATATTTATCAAAGAGCACCAAGTTTCTGATAAATGGCCAAGAAAATTCCATTCCATTTTTAATAAAGAAGATTATGATAGAAACTTTAAAGGTATACTGGAAATTGCTACATTAAGAAATGACAAATTCTTAGCCGGGTGATGCTGTTTCACACCTATAATTCTAGCTACTCAGAAGGCTGAGTTCTGAGAATCACAGTTTGAAGCCAACCCTAGCAGGAAAGCCCTTGAGACTCTTATCTCCAATTAATCACAGAAAAAGCAGTAGTGATGTTATGACTCAAGTGGTAGAGCATTAGCTTTGAACAAAGTAAGTTCATGACCAGAGTGAAAGCACAGGGCTGGAAATAACAACACAAAAGACAACTTTTAAGGTATGCAGTTTCCTTTCTGTTGCTTAATGTAAATCTGTAGGTCTGACATGCAGACCTACCTGTATGGGAACACGTATTAGGGGTTTGGAATCACTCTGAGCTGAATGTAACTGAGGATGTGATTTATAAATTTGTCAAGAAACTCTTAGAAGGATGTGAACTTGTGCTCCAAATGGGGGCATTAATAGGTGACCAGAAATATTCAAGAACAAAATGAATAAAACGAGGGAAAACATGTTTAATTGAAATAGTAAGCCCTGTTATTTTATTATTTGACAATGAATTTAGAGTGGTCATGACAATATTGACATTAGAAAGAGAAAAACATCTCTTCTCTGTGGTGGTTGTAGTTCCTGCACTGTCTTCAGTGATGGTTGGGCCTAACAGGAGAAACCTCTCATGTCCTTCTTGCCATCTGGTAATGGGCTTACCAGTGTCAGGTTTCATGTTTGCTAAATTTCTCTCTTGGCAAAAGACTTAACAAATAATGATACAGATCACTTTTATTGCCATAATTTGCACACTATAAAATCCATCTTTTCAAAATGCCTCAATAAATGTTTTAATAGATTTACTCAATTGCACAACTAGTATCACAACCTAATTTGAAACGATCACATTGGCTTATCATGTATGTGTTATTAAATTGTAGTTAGTCTGTCCTCAGTGTTTCTAAGCCATTCTCATATAGCTGTTTACCTATTTCTACAGTTTCCTTTCTAAACTTTTCAATATAAATGGAATAATAAAATATATGAATTTATTTTATCTGGATTCTTTACCTCACCATAAGTTTTGAGCCCCATTTTGTTGTATCAGCAGATCTTTCCATTTTCATTCCTATATGGTTTTGTCTTCTAGATTCATCTTTTGTTGTTGTTGTTGTTGTTGTTGGTCATGGGGCTTGAATTCTGGGCCTGGGCCTTGTCCCTGTGCTCTTCAGCTCAAGGCAAGTTCTCTATCGCTTGAGCTACAGCACAACTTCTGGTTTTCTAGTGGTTTATTGGAGATAAGAGTCTCACAGACTTTCCTGCCCGGGCTGGCTTTGAACCCCAATCCTCAGATCTCAGCCTCCTGAGTAGCTAGGAATACAGGCATGAACCACCAGCGCCCGGCTCTATATTCATCTTTTTATTTTTTTTATCTTTACCAACTGATAAGTATTCAGGTATCTAATATTTGGGGTAATTAAAAGTAATACTATTTTATCACATTCAAATTTTCTGTGGACATAGGTTTTTATTCTCTTGAGAAGTTTCCTAGAAATAAAATCAATCACTTGTATGGTATGCTCATGATTGATTTTGCTTTGAAATTCATGGTATTATTATTTTCAGTGACATCAGTTTTCATTCCAAACAGCTACACAAAAATAATGAATTTCAGTTTTTCTTTCCCTTAACAAATAATTTCCCTTTGTTATTTTTATTATAACATTTTCAGTGGGGTAAAATAAGATATTATAGTTTTAATTCCTCCACCGGTGACTAACAATGTCAAGTAACTTATTTTCAAACAAAGTAACTTAAATTAAATGTTATGTATTTATACATATTAATGTGTTAACAGAAACTTAAATAGCTACACTTATTTATGGAGTACAGTATAAAACTTAGATACATGATTACCATTTTTAATGATCAATGATAATGTAAAAATTATAACTAGCTCTCTAAACATTGATAAGTTCCTTTCAAAGGGAGGTTTTTAAAGTATTTTTGTACTTTATAAAATCTCCAATGAGATATTTTAAACTAGAGTAACTCTAGATAACCATAAACTACTGGAATTTATTCTACCTGTGTAGCCATACTGCCTCAATCACCGCCTACCTCTTCCTGTAGTGACCACTGATCCCTTTTCTACTTCTAAGCAATGAAACCTTTTACATTCCATGTGAGAGGCAAAACTTCCCTCTCTTTGTCTAATTCATCTCAGATAGCATAATATTCTCTGTTTCCAACCATGCCACAACA